TCACAATCTCACGGTCTTGCGAGTTTTATCACATGTTCATGTATAGTTTGTACAAGCCGAAGCCATATGGAAATTGATCTTTTAGGGCAACAAAGTAAACATCTTTAGCAAGCCTGGCTTAATTTGATACAGATACCAAGTGGTACCCAGTCCTCATGACATCTATCTACAAGTGAAATCTTTATTTCAAACTCCAGAGTTGAGGGGCCTACATCCTTGAGGTCAAATGACTTACTGGGGGACACTCAGTTGGCAGAATTTCAGAGACACAGGGGCCTTACTATTGATTCCTTGAGCTCTTTGGAGAACCGAGGTCTGCTTTGTTCTGAAACTTCCCCTCTGAGGTCAGCCACAAACTTCTCTAGGTGGATTCCCCCTCTATTCCTTTCTGCCTCCAGTCAGAGATCTAGCTTCCTGATATTGTGGGTTCTCTCTGCTCCTCCAAGCCGCAACCCGAGGGCCTTTGGTCCTCAGTGAACTACTGTCTTCACAGAGGTACTCTGATGCTAGCCCAGTGCTCACAGCTCCTGGCACTCTTTCCTCCTTGAGCATCCCTCAGGACCATTGTCACGCTTTACTCTAAAAGTCTTACATTGTACCCAATGACAGGCTCAGAATGAGGCCAGGCCACTGTCATTTCTCTGAAAGTTCTGGGCATGCTCAGTGCAACCAGGACTGAGACCCACACCTTGGTGCCCCTCACCCATCAATCCACAGCTACTCTTCTGAATGAGATATTTTACAACAAGGAGGGGAACTCTGAGTACCAAGCTTTCTGTTTGCTTTTATCAGCCCAGAGTCTCTCCCGCCCTTCTGGATGATAAGGCTAATTATTCACTGGGAAGAATGTTGTAGTCACACCTTTGGTGCAGGGAATCAGACAACAGAGCCTGCTGACTCACTTGCTATTATTTGGACAAGCTTGTGTCACTTGATCAAAATATCAAATAAGAGACTGTGGTAAAAAGAAAAACCTACAGTTCTGGTTTTTCTGTTTCTGTCTATGGAGACAGGTTTGGATTCCAGAAGGTAGACTCTTCAGGCTAAAAGGGGAGTTCAGATCACCTTCTTGTCTGAAAGATCATTATAGATGGTGCAGCGCTTGTCCACCCACTTCCTGGCACCTGCCTCTGTCATACTAGGGATTTCTAAGCAGAGAAGACCTCGGTCCATCCACTCAAGCCCAGACTCCTAAACCCTAAGTCACAAATCAATGTTGAATCCCTTCAAACCCCATAGGGAAGGGGGGACAGAAGTAACGAAGAGGTTCTAAAAAATAAGGGGCTCAGGGACATGCTGGAACCCTTACTCCAAGCAATCCCTGCCCATATCGCAGGTCAAGAAAGAGCAAACTTGAAAAACCGGACAACCTGACACAAAAGCCAATGTGGCCATCTGCCCAGGGCTCCAGTCCCAAGTGTTCCTGGGGCACCAGCAGCCACTCCCACAGCAGTTTTGCCTTCTGCCTGGCAGCCTTCCCCCATCCCCCATTGCTCCTCATCCAATAATATCAGAGATGACCCCTAACACAGCATACATGAGATATGTTCCTGAGAACAGGTTATTAAAGCCACTCAATGGAGTCAAGGGCTTCATCCTTGCTGAGGGTACAAGAAATGTAACTTCCATAGGATCAGGGAAAGGATTGCCTTCATCCTATATGGTTGTTTGAATGGTTCACTGGTGCTCAGTTGATTCTGGTTGTTTTATCTTAACCAGATGCTTGGCCAAGTGTTTCTTAACATGAATAAATTATATTGTATATTTGTATATTTTAGTAGCTTAGGATTTGAAAGATCAAAATTAAGACAGCTTTTAAAATCTTTAATGGGATCCTGGGTAGACTGGAAACTTCTGAGGCTAGTGGGAGCAAGACAGAGGTGATATCTCCAGTCCTTTTTTCTCGAATGTCCACTTTTCTGATGGTAACATGTAAAAGCAGAACAGCCTGAGGATATTTATTTCCAGAGGGTGTGGGCTATCTCACAAACGTCCTCTGAGTCACAGTTCTGAACCACAAAGTCACTGTGACATTTAATTGTGTATGCAAAAGACAACCAAACCCATGCCATGAGACCCACGCTACTGTCCCAAAGTTCTCTGGAACTTACTCAGCTAGAGCATTCCCAAGGTAAGAAAAAATATAAGGCTCAGGACTGTGAAAATAGCTAATCTCAGAACGACAAAGATTTGAAGTCAGGTCATTTGTCTGGAAAGTTCATTCCTCTACAGTGTCTGGGGATGTTTGGCGAAGGATTTGAGCTCTAAGTACTTGATGAAAGGCCTGGTAGTGAGCACCTGTAATCCCAATATTTGGCAGGCTGAGGTAGAAGGATTGCTGGGAATTCAAGGCCAACCTGGGCTACATAGTGAGTTCAGGGCTATCCTTGGATACACGACGAAACTCTAAACAAAAGAAAAGAAAAAAGTCCCTAAAACATGATGAATGAACAAACTCATAAACAAGTACATCACGGCATCATTAATTTATAGCTACAATAGTTCAGTGTGTGCTGCCTCTAAATACACAAAGACAGAAACAAATACACCAGTAGATGGCACGCATTTGCATTTGTTGATAAGGAAATGAGCAATGTGTTTGCTCCCGAAACCCTGCAAGGCCAGCAAATCCACTGGGCGTGGCTCTGGAATATAGGTACAGCAGAAGAGCCATATCATATTTTAGGAGTAGACAGGTCTTAGTGTCCCTTCAGTGCTCGTGTGTTCTTCGTGTCTCACTGGAGTTGCCAATTACACTAGCACAGTATACAACTGTAACCTCAAGATGCCAAACTTAGTTCTCCAATGAAAGATCAGATGGGCAGCTCACAGAAACTTGCACTGGACATGTACCTGTTAGTGAGACCACAACTAGTGATGGTGGCTTACAGAACACTCCTCCTAGCAGAGAAGCAAAGTTAAAAAACAACCTCAAGTTCCTGAGGGAGAGGAGAATTAGAAAAGGTAGATGGAGGTCTGCATTGTTGAGCTAGAGTCGATGGGATCTCATCTCGGCCAGCCAAAAGCCATGATAAGAAGGCCACCAGAGCCATAGTAAGAAGGCCTCTAGAGCCATAGTAAGAAGGCCTCCAGATCCATGATAAGAAAGCCACAAGGAAGCTTTTCTGCTGTTTCTTTTCTACTCCCAAATTTGAATTGCACCTGGAAATTATTAACTGGTCTCACTGATACTAAGAATAACATCTCTTTCAGGTGGCCCCCTCATCATTAGAACATTGTAGGGCCTAGAAATCTCCACACATCTCTAATTGGCTCCTGATTTGGTGCCTTGGGAATAAACAGTAGTGTGACCCTCCATGAGGCTTTGTTTCTCTTCTCTAAGAAGAAATATTTCCCAGAAAAAATGACTCACCAAGATGCTACAGATAGCTATTGCCCCTTCCCCCAAGAAGCGAAATAAAGACTCTTTGGGAGGTTCCTACTAGCTCAGAAATGTTTATAATGAGCATTTACTGCTTATATAATTAGGAAATAATGGTTAGCTGTGAGCATGATTTTGTTGGTTTTAAACAAGGGAAAAATATTTTTCTATCTGCCCTCTGGCATTGCAGTGTAGGATTCGGTGCCTGTGGTGTGACGTCCTGTGATGTTACATCCTCTCCTGTCAGCAAGGACCTTCAGCAATGATCATGCTTTGGATACTGCCCAACAGTTGGGCTTTAAAGAATAACACCGATGAAAATATCTTGCATGATTTAGAATCCCCTGATATCAATTAACACTCTCAATAGGAATGAGCTTCAAAATATGTTTTTCCATGACATCAGAATAACAACTTGATCCCAAGAAAAGAAGGTGTTTAGCCCTCTCGAGTAACAGTAATCCATGGCTCAGACTTTGTCAGAACTCTGTACCTCTCTCTCTTGACTGTCACCGTCTGTTCATTATGTGGCAGCTGCACAACCTGGTGAAACCCTTGAAGTCCCTGGACCATGTCTTACACCCCTTGAGAGAGACTGACTTGTGTCCAAGGTACAAACATCTCACATGAAGGTCTCATCTGCCAGGTTCCAGTCACATGCCCATGCTGGATTAAGCAATTGTGAAGAGTCAAGTTATTAGCCTGAAAGATCAGGATTGGTAGATAACTCAAAGTGGGTCAGTGGGAGGTGCTGTCCCACAAGCTGTTTGCTTTCCATCTAAACAGTCCTGCTTCCTAAATTGAGAAGAAAGTAAACAAAACGATCCTAAGCTATTATAGCAATTCAACATTTCTGTGACACCCAAACAAGTGATTCTTTATTTTCCAGGACATCCATATATGGCATTTAAAATTAAAAGCTTTTTCTAAGCACTGACTGGTATAAAACATGGCAGCTCATGATTTGTGTAATGGAGAAGAAGGGACTAGACTAGAAGGAGAAAACAATTGTGTCCGGCATCTTGAAACTGTGTCGGGCATATCTGGAGGTGAGGTCACTATAGCAGGATCTAGTAGGACCTGCAACAACAATTGATTCCTAGAAAGGGGACACTGTTAATAAACTGTGGTCATGTTGAGAAAAAATAAAGTACAGTTGGTATATATAGTCTTGATACCTTGATTTCTTTGTGCCAGACTTAGTGCTGAGTTTCTCTACAATTTGCTTTCAGTTCCTGTGCAAAGACAAGCAGAATGATGTTTGGGTTACTTGAGTTTCCTTACAGCTCAATAAATAATTTGTTGATTGCGACAAATGTTTCCCCTTTCTGGGCTCCGATTATAACACTTTGAAATGATACTAATAAATACCCAGAGCTCTCTTAACGGCACTCAGCCATAATTCTCTCCTCCTATGGGCATCTCTGACCACACCCTTCGTCCCTGAAAGGAGTTACAAGTGATGCCTTTTGATATTTCCCACAACTCCACATTTTTGCACAATGTCTTGATGTCCTCAAAGGGTCAGCGCTGGTTAATTGGGGTTGCTGTGTTTTGCCAACATAAAACCTACTCAGTGTAGTTATGGTCTGCCTGTGTCATGCTCCTTCCCCAACAGCCATGCTGCAAGCAGTACGAGCCCTGATGATTGTGGGCATTGTGCTGGGAGTCTTCGGTATCCTAGTGTCCGTCTTCGCCCTGAAGTGCATTCGCATTGGCAGCATGGATGACTCTGCCAAGGCCAAGATGACTCTGACTTCTGGGATCATGTTCATCATCTCTGGTAAACACGGATTCCCACTCTCATGCACCTGCAAATGTTAGAACAAATTATTCTGATAGAAGAAAAGTGATCCCTCCCCACTACTGAACAGAGCTCAGGGTGTTTCACACCGGGATTCAAGATCTGAGTGTGTATAAGCCAAATTACACTCCATAGAACTGTAGCCAGTTCCCTAGGTCCCTCTTAGCTGCCGCTGACACTATAATAAAAATGTCACCCCTAAGACAAGCATGAGCCTGGACCCTTAAAAAGCATTTTCTAGGTGAAACTCTAGAAAGCGGTTTTAAGGGGAAAGCTCTTGCCGGTAACCAAGATCAGCCCCCAAATGTTTGGATTACTTACCCTTGGTCCCAAGGTGTGTGGAAGCATCTCTTTCTGTGTATACACACACACACGCACACACACACACATACACGAATCCTTCCAGAATTAAATATGAGATAAGTACCTTGCCCACTGTCTAGCACAAACACAAACTCAACAGTCGGTGTTTGATTAGCCATTCTGTTCCAGGAATGGAATTCCCTATAGTCTTCATCTGATCTCATTTCAGCATAAACTGCCACACAAGCATTGAGATCCCTTAATTCTTGTTCTTTTTCTTCGCCCACAGGAATCTGTGCAATCATTGGTGTGTCTGTGTTTGCCAACATGCTAGTGACCAACTTCTGGATGTCCACAGCCAACATGTACAGCGGCATGGGTGGGATGGTGCAGACCGTTCAGACCAGGTAACCTCCTAGTCCACTTCCTGGTGATCCACGGTGAATATTGTAAGAGGATGATTAAACCGTGTGCTTAATGTGACTTCAGTGTCTGAAATAACGAACATTTATCAGAGGCAACCATGCCGTACCGTAACTCAACAATGATCTGTAAATCCATAAACTTCATTTCCATGAAACATCCTTGCTGATATGACTTGAGGCTGATCTGGCATTTGCCCTGAAATAGAGTGACAGTTCACAGTATTTATCTAGCATGCTTACACAGACCCCATTGCGGTGGCAATACGACAGGCCTGGCTAACCCAAGATGTAAAGGAGCATCAACTTAGACCCATAGTCCATAATGGCAGTTTGGTGGGAGCAGAGAAAATCTTCAGGAGAAAGGAGTACAGTGCATTACAAGTGAGGAAAATGATATTTCCTCCTGGACTGTTGCCTTCTCTCATTCATTTGTTCAGTAAATGTATTAAACACTTGCTGTGGCCCAGGCAGAGAGCAGAGTGCAAAAGACAGTCAAACTCCCCACTCGTGTGGAGGTCTAGGAGATAGAGTTAAAACCTCACTATACCTGGAGGGGAGCAGAACCTTTTTTAATTTTTGAAATTTTGTTTCTTTTTATTTTATGCGTAAGAGTGTTTGCCTCTGTGTATGTCTCTATACCACATAGTGCAGTGCCTGAGGAGACCAGAAGAGGATGTCATATCCCTTGGGGCTGGAGTTACAGATGGTTCGGAACTGCCATGTGGGTGCTGAGAATTGAACCCAGGTCCTCAGGAAAAGCAGCCGCTGAGCCAGTCACAGAAAAATATTTAATGGAAAAGCAATATCAATACCTATATTTGGCAACATTGATATGTATATTTGTTTAGCCTAAGTATCAGATTGATGCATCTCATCAGTAAGCAACACCCAAAACCCAAAGGAAAGTGGTATAAATCCCTACACATGGAAGTGCCTGGTATTTCTGCACCCACCCAACAAGAGGAAAGGACAGGGTATGAAGATGATACAGCCATCAAGATCTGACTTTCTGGAACTCCAGGCCCTAGTTATGTGTCTGCTTTGTTTCAAGATCGCGGAGAAAAGTAATCCCAGAAGTTGTCATTACTCTTCTCTGTGTTTCTCCCATAGTCTGTCTCTTGGTTAGAAGGAACAACCTGGAGCTGGAGATATGGCTCAGTGGCTAAGAACATAGACCACTCTTCCAGAGGTCCTAAGTTCAATTCCCAGCAATCACATGGTGGCTCATGACCATCTGTAATAGGATCCGATGCCCTCTTCTGGTGTGTCTGAAGACAGTGACAGTTTACTCATATAGAGAGAATAAATAAATAGATAAATATTTTTAAAAGGGAAGGAAGGAAGGAGGGAGGGAGGGAGAGAAGGAAGAAAGGAAGAACAACTTGGAAGTCACTGATCAAGTCATTTCTGCTTGCCTGAGACTTTCTCAATTTTGATCCTAGGAGTGTCACATCCTTTGAAAACACACCCTAAATGGCCTGAAGTCTCCCATAGGTTCCAACTCCTAAAGGTCCACCATCTTCCAATAGCACTGCCTTGGATACCTGCCTTTAATGCCTGAGCCCTTAGGGAAGAGTCACTATATTATGCCACCTGAGATAAGTTCCACTATGAAAACTCAAAATACCAAAACTCCCTCAGAAGCAACTTGAGGGTGATTCCATCACTCTTACGTGTCTCTGGCCAAGTGTTGACCGCTCTCCCATTTAGCGGCAGAGAGACAAAGAGGGGACTAAACAGGAATGGGCATAACTGGAAGCAACAGGAAGAACCTGAAGGGTTAGACAACTGTGTTCACAACATCTCCCCTCTCAGGTACACCTTTGGTGCAGCTCTGTTCGTGGGCTGGGTCGCTGGAGGCCTCACACTAATTGGGGGCGTGATGATGTGTATCGCTTGCCGGGGCCTGACACCAGATGACAGCAAGTGAGTCCTCCCGTGAGTCCTCCCTCCCTCGGCAGCTAGAACTTCATTTAATATATACTTTGTAGCCACAATAACTGGTCCACATACATGGAAGAATGATATTGGCTAAGGGATCCTTGAACTTCCTCCTTTATGGGGAACCTAAGAAATAGAACAAGATCCCCCAGGGAATGTTTAATGGATACTTTTTGAAATTGGGGGATGGGGGGAGGTGTAAATCTCTCTATGGTCCTTCCAGCTCCAACCCTTCCTAACTCTGTAATCCTACACTGGAAGAGATTTTTGCATCAGTACCACCTGCAGAGATATTTGGCAACATCTGAAAATATTTGGTTGCTTTGGTAATGATAGGAAAACGAATCTGGTTTCTAGTGGGTATATGGACATCCAACAATGGACAGGACCAACCCTCATCACAAAGGATCTGCTTCAAAATATCAACAGTCCTGATGTCAAGAAACTCTGCTCTGAACTCTAGTCAAGGACCTGGGATTGGTAGAGCCCGATTGTGTAAAAGGAATTATTTTAAGATAAATGCAACCAGTAAATTAATCCAGCTGTATTTTTTAACCTTTGCTAGTTCCCAATAACCACACAGAGAAACTAAGGTTTATTTCAAGCTGCTCCTCAATATATGGGCAGTTAAATGATTTACCTTAACCCCCTATGCTAATCTGGCTACAGCTCAGCCATCCCCAAGATACTTGCAGTTTAATGTTGTTCCAGCTCTCTCTGCTTTCCATGGTATCTTCTCAGACTCTCCTCGTGAGCCTCATTCCAACCTCTTCCCACCCCCTCCTTTCCCCTGGCTGGCAGAAGTCCCTATTCCCTCTTCTGCCCAGCCATTGGGTGACCAGCATTTACACAAACTTGAAAAAGGAGATTCTTGACATAGACATTACAATGCCATGTCCAGATTGAAATAAGATATGAGGATAGAGAAATCACATTTGAATGACACAATTATAACCCTTACACAAATGCTCAAAAACATTATGCCTACAGGATTATGTTGTGGTTCTACTACTCACCAGCCCTGCAACCACAACAGGTCCTTTCTGTTCTCCCGGCCTCTGACCGAGTGCATTAGGACTCTTATAGCACAACAGCCTACAATAGCTAGTTTATAAACAGGAAAAAAGATGTATTTATTATGGCTCTAGTGCTGGGAAGTTCAAGACAAAAGCATTGGGATGGGTATCTGGTAAGAGACGATCTCTGCTGCCGAGATGGGGCCTTCCTGCACTGTCTGCAGGAGAGGAGGACTGCTCACACGGGAGAAGGAATGGGAGGTTGAGGAAGAGACCGCTTGAACCTAGAGCCTTTTACAAAACACAAATCTCTCATGGCTTGATCATATTTCCAAAGGTCCATTCATTTTTGGGTTTTTTTTTCCTGGTTTTTGGAAACAGGGTTTCATTGTGTAGACTTGGCTGTCTCGGAACTTTGTAGATCAGGCTAGCTAGCCTTGAACTCAGAGATTCACCTACCTCTGCCTTCCAAGTACTGGGTGTGTGACACCATCGCCCCAAAGGCCCATTCCTTAACATCATCACACTGGGGGATTAAGTTTCCTGTGGATTTTGGAGAGCATGTATTCGCACCACAGTAGCCTCTGATACCTTGTCCATAAAACAAGCAAATTAGAAGTTACACATTCCAGCTGACAGATTCCACGATTCTTCATTAAAACAAGATCCCACTGGACATTGTCACCTTCATTTTAAATAACAGAAACAACTCCGTAGTCAATGACAGCCATCTCCTTACAGCTCTAACATATACGTGTATAAGACAGATGAACAGACAGACATACAGTTTTATTAGTTTTTTTTTAGGTTAAAACAAACAAAGCCATGGAGGTGCACACTTGTAATGCCAGCACTGAGGAGGGGTAGGGGGTGGAGGATCAAGAGTTCAAGATCAGCCTCAGCTACCCAGCAGTTTAGAAGCTCAACCTGACTTATGTAGGCTATTGTCAGGAAGGAAGGAAAGAAAAGAGAAAAAAGGAAGGAGAGAGAGAGAGAGAAAGAGAGAGAGAGAGAGAGAGAGAGAGAGAGAGAGAGAGAGAGAGAGAGAG